GTTCCCCTCTCTGCTTACCAAATGAAGAGTGACAAAGGGTGTAGACAGCATCTTTTCTTCACTGTTCCTTTCAGCAGTTTGAGAAGGTCAGAGCTCTTCTCCTTGTGCTTACCATCACTGTACCATACCTACTGTTGGTATTTTATCTTTCTTTAAGGTTGAACCTGTAAAATTTTACTTCTGTGCCATTTGGCTTTAATCCTCCCAGTCTAGCTTTAAAGCAATCTTATCTTCCTCTCAAATACACAGTTAAGTATGTCTTACTTTGCTCATTTCCTGGCTTCAATTTCATGGCTGTAATATCATGTACAAGTTTTAAGTACTGCATATTCCATTGCAGGTGGTCAGTTTAACCATGTTAACAAGTGCTTCATCTATTCATCTTTCAGGTCCAGTATCAGAAAGAAAACTGGAAGCAAATATTTTTAATCCAGATTCATGAGTCCCTTCATGTGTCTCAGAGGCAGTGATATGGCAGACCTATGCAAGAATATTGCTGCTTGTGCTTTTACTTTTTAGGAGTTATGAGTGCATACAGGCATATGTAGGCAAGGTATTGCAACTTTACTCCTTCAATTAGTCTCTGACACCTTTCAGTCTAAAACAAAGTCAAAGCAGCTTGTCTGAGACCTGGATGCTGCTTCTCAGCATGGATGGATATAGCAGCTACATGAGAGTACAAGCAAGAATAAATAAACTGGGCTGTGTCTCACCACAAAGGGCTATTGCATGGGCACACACAAATGCATACTCTGTGTTGTGCTTAAGCATCAACTAAGAAAGAAAAAAAAAGATGTTATTTGTTACATTGTGTTATATTTCTGCCACATTGTGTCACAACTGCTGTCACTATCAAGACAGAACAACATAGGAAGACTTCGTCAAGGTTCGTAAACTTTTGGTGAGGATGGATCCCCAGTGTTCCTAAGGCCATCCGTGCTAGGTAGAAGTCTTCCCCTCCACATATTTAGGAGAAAAAAAGCACCCCAAGTCCTGAGTTTCACAGCCTACTTAGCATCCTTCCACCTTTCTTCCCTCCTAAGCATGTTGTCACGTGTTTCCATAGCAGCAGCAGGACAGCTGTCCAGTTCTTTTATTCATGGTATAACAGCCTGAAGTGATTACAGTTTTCTGCTTGGCAGCTCATAGTTCCTGTTATCCTCACAAGGGTGATCTGACAACACTTGTGCATTCAACAGTGCTCCATCAAGCACTCTGCTATTTTCTATGCTGCACCTAGAGTCAACACAGTCTTCCCCATTGTTTTCTGCTCTTCAAAAGATGAGCTGTCTTTTGGGAGAGTGCTCTGTGAGATCCCATGAGGTACACAACAGCTTTGCCATTTAGTCATGAATGAAAATTATTCTTGGAATTCATATAAGGGCAGTTTGTATTGCTCTGGATGAGAGTCTTACAGATTTGAATGTCATCATTTTATAAACCAAATATTTCCATTCTGTCTCTTGTATACTACTTGATGTACAAATACAGTTATTCTTGAGAACATTCAGACAATGTTAGCAAAGATATATCCTTCCACACTTATGCCACACCCTCGATATAGTATTATATAATTGCCTTCAACAATATAATCTGGGCTATAGTCCTCTGCTGTGAAGAATTCAAGGAGACATACAGTTCAAAGTTTTTTCCTTCTAAATGAATATGAACTGTATCAATGTACTGGTACTCAGAACTACCAGACAGGCCTGCTCAGGTGTTTCTGAAAAAGAATGCTGCTGTGTCCTATGTCAACAAGCAAGTTCTCCCCTAACTTTTAAAGGATGGAGCTGCCTTTTGGAATTAGTGCAGTTATCCGTGATCCGTCTTGCAGACACTCTGAGCAGTCAAACAAACCAAACTCAGTTTCTTCAAAACTGCTAGACCTTGACTAGAAGATCTAGACAGCTGTCCTAATACCAGCATTTCAACCATATTACTCTTCTTGTCACAATCTAACAAGAAATGGCAGGCTTTATGTCCCAGATACCTGGATTATCTCTGGAAAGTTACTAATTTCTCTGGTTGGAGACTCTTTTCCCATTTCTTCTGTTCTCGAAAACATTTTTTACAAGTAAAAGGCAGAGCTCAGGCAATACTATTGCCCTTGGAAAGATACTAACTGTTGTTGTGCTGTTTACATTGAGCATCAGACTGTATGAAAGAGTGCTGTAAGCAGAAACTATATTTCTTTTAGAACCTATACCTAAAACAATCTTCCATTGGGATATCCCCAAAATTCTTGTTTGAAAAGCAGCCATATGGGGTCCCATTCTGTCTTCTACTAAGCCTTACAAACTCCTGAAGTAGCTGGGAGCAATATGATGTCCAAAAGTGCTGGCTATAAAAGGATCTCCTGCCAGATACATTTCTACGGGTACTGCACATGGACAACCAATGAAAGGAGAAAGAATGGCTCCTTGTTTGTAGTTTTCCAGTAAATACATGTTTTAAGCAATACATCTCTAACACTTCCTCCTACTCTTCCCTCTGTAGTCTAGTCAAATATATTGCTTCTTAGGATGAGAGGAGCTGAAATGACTGGCTGTTCCACCCAAATTTTACCATATGCGCAACACATGGCAAGAGAATGAAGGGATATTTTTAATGATAAAGCTGCAGTTAAAAACAAAACAAAACAAGAAGCAAAAAACAAACCTCAAAACTAACGCTAAGAATGCTGGCATAATAATTTCCACAGTGCTAATGCAAGCAAAGACAATGAATTTGGAAGAAATGCTACAGTTGCTTTTTATCAAATTATTCAATAAAAGCCAAGAAGAATTCTGCCATTAGTACCAGCAGGAGTCCTTCTAGTCTTGCAACCCTTATTGTGGATTTTGATCCTGCTGAAGCTTATGTTTAGGAGTAAGCATGCTGGGCTTGTACATGTAGTTAATCACTTCAGTGAATGCTTCCAGATAGACAATGAGATTCTGATCCTGCAAATATTTGTACTTGAACTCAACTTCAAATACAACAGTGTTCAAACTGAATATATTTTCTGCAGTTTTAAAGCCTCCTGATGAAGGAGTTTACCACCTACACTGTGCTTTGAACTAGGTCCTGTAGTTTCTTCATTGGCTCATACTGTGTGTAGAGTACTTAGGCAAAGCTAATTTTCCAAAGGGGAAAGATAAGCAAAGTTACTTTCTCATGCTTTGATCCCATTTATTTGTTTCTGGTTTCATAATTAATTTTGGAAAAAAATATTATTAAATTATTAAATATATATAAAATAACATATAATGCAGGATATGTAAAATAGATAAGACATATATGATTATTATTAAACATGGAAAGCCTGAAAGACTAATTTTACTATTCCTGAAAGAGTACCTCAGTGTAATGATATTTCTAATAATATCTTATATATATTTGTAATTTCTGTTGTCAATCAAATTTTGAAAAATGAGATTGAAATTACAAATGTGTGTAGATGATATTATTGTATTCAGGAAATGTGGCTGCTCAGCTGTGTAAAAGGATACATGCTGCCTTTTGCAAATAATTTCTGAGGCTTCTCAACTGAAGCAGTGAACTCGTAATGATGGCTGTCAATGGATGAAATTACCTATTTCATCTACAGATAGGATTTTCTTGTGATTTGGATTAGACAAAGTGTCTCCAAAGGAGCACAGTTCCTTATATGTGATTTTTTCACTACTCAAGTCTTCCTGAGCTATTGGCATTCTTGAGTCTCAATTTGAGATATTTTCTTTGGGAATAGTCCATATGCCCTTTTCTACCACTGCTTCCTTCTACAGCAGTAAACACAGTATTTATCACTGCATTTCCTATACATTATTTTCATAAATCACACTAATCAGAGGAGGAAATACTAGCCTTTAATCTTATCCTTAGTGATTTACATGCAATGAAGTGTCATAGGAATGGTCCTCTGGCCTTTATGATTTTCTAAATGTACTGCTGTTGAATTTTGTTCTTATTGCCTGCTGTTCGCAAATGGCTTTCTAAATTTCATCCTGCCTAGCTTTTGAGAAGCACCATCAAGGTATGAAGAGACTAACAATAAAAAGGAAATTATTAGCTGGCAGCCCTACATCAGCAAAATTATTATTCTGTTATGACTACAAATAGGAGCAGCAAATGTGAAAACAGACAATCAAATTAATCAGCATTTAAGGGAAATGGGTTTGGAATAATTATCAGATTGCTTTTAATCAGCTATGTTTGAAAGTGCATCTCTGCTGTCATCCTTGCTAGGGAAAAATAGCAAATAAGTGCACATTTTGAGGTTTGAATCGGTTCTGTGATCATAGTTCTTGACAAAGGCTCCAGAGAATAAAAAAAACCATAGTGGTATTGCCTTGTTACTCACAGCTCCAGTCAAAGTGGAAGTTGCCTATTCTTCCCAAAGGCAAAGAGCCTTTTATTCCTCCTATATATGGATGTGGGGGTATAAGCGCACTCTTCTCCATCTTCCATACTGTGACTCTGCCAACATTCTTCAGGTGGGGGACCTTTGTGTAGACTGTGTCAACAGCCCATGTACATCCACTAGAACACTTCTTTGCAAGCCCAGTGAGGATACTTCCAGCCTATTGCAGCTACAAATGGATGTAAAGAGACTGGATCTGATCCATTCTTCATTGCCATTCATACCTTTATCAGTATTTCATGTATCCTTTCTCTTTTCCCTCTAAGCCTATCTAATGCTGTCCAAAGAGACTGGTATAAGTAATTAGGGACACGGAAGCTGTGCATCAGCTTCTTGGAAGCTCAAAGTTTTCAAACAATCTGAACACTGGAAGTACTAAATTTTTATTATGTCCCATTTTCTCTTGAGCTTTCCAACACTGAAAAAAAGAAATAAACAAATCAACCTTTACTGTCTTCTTCCTGCAAGTTTTGTAATATCTGGGAAGAAAAAAAAAACAAAAAGAAAAACAAAACTTTAGCTAGCTAGACTGTTGTTACGATAAATGAGTAATCTTTGCACATTTGCATCTACTTTGTTTAATATTTTTCCCATACAGATACTTCATCGATTGGAAGAATGATGTGGACAGCTACTTTACAATAGATGCTACTGAAGGAACCATTGCTACTAATGAATTACTGGATAGAGAAAGCACAGCACAATACAATTTCTCTATAATTGCAAGTAAAGTTAGTAAGTATGACACAAACTGAATTAATATGCTAAAGTGTTTTTTTCCCAGAATGTAGTACTCAGACATAAATATACTGTGAAGAATGCATACATTGCTGAAAGATTATTTAAGAAGCCTCAGTAAATATCATTTTGCCAGACTCACTATGAAACGAAGTTTGATATTCAAAGAGCCCTTGAAGTTTTTCTAGTAGTGCTCATGTAGCCACAGCTCCTTCAGAAGCTGAAAAACATTTTGTCAGCAAAAAGAACAAGAGGAGTTGTACAAAGGCCTTCCAATTTTGATTCCTGATTTTGTAATTCATTCCATATGAAATCAAGTTAGTCAAATAACATGTCTGTCTATCTGCTTTTTGAAGGCAAAAGAATTTTAAGACTCATTCAATTCCCACACAAAAAGTACACTAAAACTGAGTCAAGGTTTAAGGCCCTAAACAACTAAGTCTGTGTGCTGCATCTCTGCTCTCGTGCTTTCTCTCTACCCAAGACTTTAAGCCTAACTACATGTTTTCTTTTCCTGTATGATTTGTGATGGGGTTGCTTTTTTCATTTCTTGTATTTGTGTCTTCTAAGTAGTTTCAGGTTCTTTTTTAAAATAAGAATTCCCTTCTGGTGCTGTATTATGAACCTGCTTTCTCCACTGCCATCCTTCTGTGTAGCATTCCTGTTTCATGATTATGTCAAACCAAAACTCTCATAGACATATACCACCATTTGAATACAAGCCTTTGTATTCAAAGGGTCACTTAACGGCCATAGAGATCTTTCTGTTGACATCAGTGGGCTGCAGGAGCAGGAAAATATTATATTTGAAGAATTTCTGCTAAAAAATAAAAATAGAAATTGCACTTGTTTAGTGCTGATGTAGAAACACTGCAACTGTCATCTCTTATTAGAGAAAAAATGTGCGGAAGAGTGTCTTACCATATACATGATTACCGAAGGAAACTGTCCCAGTATTGCAATTAGTTGCATAACTTGCCTCAGGAATAGATGCTACTGTTACCTAAGTATTTCAACTATCCATTACCTTATCTCTTTAAACTAAACACACTCTAAACTAGTCATAGTTTTATTAAGCTTTGTTATTTAAAAAACTTCATTGCTAAAATACGTATTTTGCTTTCTCAGTGTGAGACAGTAACAACAAAACCCCTAACGTTTTAAACAGATCCTAATGATCGTTCTGCAAATTACTTTTTCTTGAATTGGCCAATTATAAAAAAACTCCACCAGCTTTATCCCCATCAAATCAGAGAGAAAACCAAATTAAACTGGCTTTGCCATCATTCTCCTGTATGTGGAAAATGATGCCAAGGTCATGAGTAGGCTTACGTGGGTTCCTCGTATGTGCCTTAGCCCTGGGTTCTTCTATGTCATGGTTCCTCTTGGTTCTTCTGTAGCTTCAAAAATTAAACTGCATATGAATCACAGTTGATGCTTGTGTTACATTTTTTTTTCTCACAGCCACTAAAATCTTAAAGTAATATTATGACTTTTGAACAATCACTTTACTTTTCAAACAATGTTGTAAATTCCATGCAGTTTAGATAGCTAAGTATAGCAGCATGCAAATGGTATATGTAAATGTTGATATGGATGTACCATTTAGACTTTCTTAGATGCTGATAAATCTGAATATTATTAGCACTAAAGTACCAGAATTTATAATTTTTAATGGAATAGATTTCAAAACTGAGGCAGGAGAGAATTACCTAGTTGGATATATATCAGCCTTGCAATATCTGAAGGGGGCCCATAAGGTTGCCAGAGACGGACTTTTCATCAGGGACTGTAGCACTAGGAAAAAGGCTAATGTATTTGAGCTTAAATAAGGAAAGTTCAGGTTAGATATGAGGAAGAAGTTCTTTACTGTAAGGGTGGTGAAGCACTGGAACAAGCTGCCAGGTGGTAAATGCTCCATTCCTGGCAGTGTTCAAGGCCAGGTTGTATAGAGCCTTGGGTGATATGGTCTGGTGGAAGGTGTCCCTGCCCATGCAAGGAGGCTGGAACTAGATGATCTTCAAGTCCTTTCCAACCCCAATCATTCTATAATTCTATAATACTTGATTATTACCTTTGCTGACATTGGCTTTTATGGAGGGGGAAAGAGGAGGGAAGTCTTGTTCAAAAGCCTGATTATTTGGGAATTTGTAAATGGTTTCATGTCCAATGTCCTTGTTCTGCACTTGTCTGACATATAAATATATGTGTGTATGATAAGATTATTCTTCCCTAAATTCCAGATCCTGCACCTGCCTACATTGCCTGGTACAGGTTGCCAGCTTAAACAGAGGCAAAATTTGGACCCTTAGCAAACAGCTAATTATGAAATCTGCTTGTCGTCGGCTTGATTGTGTTAAATTATACACTCACAACCAGGGAAGTCCCGGTTACCCAGCAGTAAAACAATATATCAACAATTGACAGTAGCTGCTGATTCCACATATAGGGAACTGTAATAATGGCAAGTACTCAAGTCATGCAATGACCAACTCTGACCATGTCTCATTATACTGTGATCTTTATTTATAACCCTGAAAAACATCAGATCTAAACACTGTCTGGGAATCTGTCTACACAAAACAGCACAACTGACTCTTGAGAACATCTTGGAAGTGTACCCAGCATAAAGTGATGGATAGCCTTCTGTCATATTTAACACAAAACACCATAACTTTTCTTCACCCTTGTTAAGAAGCCTGTCCCAAAGTAGAGATCTTTTTAAGTGGGAGGTGAATGATTGTCCTGCTGATATGCAGATAATGATACAGACGTGAAGGCAGCTCAATGCAGAAGGTCCCTTACCCATCCAGAGAAATAAAAAATCAGCCTTTATGTAGAACTAAGTGCATGATCAAGGGCAGGATATGTTCACTCATATTTTTTTTTTCCCCCATTTCACTTCCCTATTTCACCATACTTCTTTTTGTTCCCTCACTATATTTCATTGTAGAGTTATTTTTCCCTTCTCAGAGTAAATCAACACCCTAGCAGCCTCCATGGTTTCTGGTCCTGCATATTTTTGATCCCACAGACTCTGTCCAAGCTAATAAATTAAACTTGTCTTGCATTTGTTTCAAGGACAAAGGCCAATTGGCACTGAGTAGTCTATTTCTCTGCCATTCAACACTCTTACCTTCCAAACAGATTGCCCACATGTAAATTGATTCTTTGTGAGTGATTCCTCACCCATACTAATACCCAGCAATTGCATGTGAATTGCCTGAAAGACCATTAGTTGCCCCAAGCCAAACTGTGCCAAGGGCTGCTGTAAGAACATAATGGTACAAAAAATCACAGTCTAGTGCTCAGAAAGTCCCCCAGTGTGCTATTAAATTAGCTAATATGGGAACGTTTTTTGCATTTTATAAAAAAGGAAATAGATAAGATGCGTAAGATCTGATTTCTGCTTTCCCGTTCTCAAGGCAGTAGTTAAAAGTTGAAAATAAATGTAACTATAATCCTTCCTGTTTGAACCCATTTACCAGCTCTCTAAGTCTAGCCCCAGATTTTGTGAATACTAAAGAAAACTCATCTTAAGTCTCAAATTGGGGTTCCTCTGCATACCATAACTGAGATTAAGGAATCACCAGTTCTCCTTGATGGTCAGTATCTATTTTCTTAGATATCTTGGATTTTCAAAAGTTTACCAGTCAAAGCATTTTACATATTTTCTACTACTGTAATATCCTTGAACCATGAAGATATTAACAGATGATGGTACTTGAGTAAAAGAGGAAAGCAAGGTTGTCGACGTCTTTACAGACAGGGAAATGAGGAAAGAAGCAGATAACTAATTTGCTTGTATATTACAGGTAGAAACCTGAAATGAGTTTCTTAATTCCTAGGCTAATGATTTAACAACTTGTCTTCTTATCTGTGTAATCTCTGTTCAAAAGGCATGAGCAGATGCTTTCAGTGACTTATTTTTGATACCAGCATGCATGTTACTACTATGCCTACAGGGCTCAAAGAGATATAATTTTGAGACAAACAGCAAACAAAACAAAACCAGAAAAAATGGAGGTCAAGTCTACAAAGTGGCATTTGAAGTGCAATTCTTCATCTTTGTTCACATCAAGTATTACAGATCTTTGTAATGATATATGAATTCAAGGCTGTACACAATATCCTTGTAGTCTCCCTTTATATACATGAGTAGTTCAACTGGTATCAAGAAACCATACAGAAAATTAACAACATAACATAAAATCCAGAAATAAGTCCATCTTATGCTTTAGTGATTCTGTTTACTTTCATATCTTATTTTTGCTAATCATTTATAAAAGTTAAAATTCTACCTTACTAAAATACTTACAAATGAGATTTTGGCCTTCTAATATATCTTTCAAAGAATCATAGAAAATAAATCGCAGACCCTCACTGAGGAATAAATGTAAAAAGTATGCTCACATTCATATGTATTTCCAAAGCATGCTATCCCTTCATGATTTTGAGGGAAGGCAAAATGTCAAATTCCTTTGTTCAATACAGTCCCACTGTTCTAAAAAGCTGAAAAACTAATTTATGTAAGATACTTCCTAAAAAAATGACGTGTAATAGAAATCATCATAGCTAATATCTGTTATGTCCATCATGCACAAATTTGGAATATGCTCATTCTTTTACTGTTAACATATTTCTAAAAGGAAATAAATTAGCATACTTTCATGGCAAGGCATTAATCTGTAATGAATGTATCCTGAACTCCTGTTGTTCACTGTTGTACCTTAAAATAAACACACAAAAACTAAATGAAAACCTGAGTTACTGCATGTGTTTTGCTGTGTTCTTTGCAGCAAGCACTGCTAGGAGGGAATTTTTAAGTTAGACTGCATCTGTAAATAACTGAGTGAACTTGACCTACTCCAGGATTTTCTGATACATACATATTCAGAGTTGAGGTTCTGTTTTCTGCTGACTAAAATAACTTAGTATTTTTTTGTTTCTCGTTATAAAAAGTAACTAATTCAATTGTGAGGAAGTGATCCAGATTTCTTCTGGCTCTTTGGGCTTCTGAAGAATCACTGCCTAATTCTCAGCTGCTAGACCAAACTCTGTCTTCATTCATACTTCACAATGCCTTTCTTCAGAGACATTCTGCACATACGGATGATGCTCCGTTGAAAACTAATGAGGATTCAAAGAGATACTATTAGATATGTTCACTGTAGTTAGATATGTTCATAGGAAAGAACTACAAATACTATCTGATTTGAGTAGTGAGGGTTTGTGGCTTTTTTTTTTTTCCTTTTTTTGTATTGCAAGCTGAGGTTGTAGGATGCTCAGTTTATCCACTACTTGTAAAGTAAAACACACTTCCACTTGCAGTTGGTCCTACTTAAATAGGAAATCATTGGCAGAAACCTTTTGGCTTTAAGGGAAGCCTCTTGAAAACCCTGCACTTAACAGTTCCTGAGAACAAGAAAGAGATAATGTAAAATTTCTACAATGTTACCATGAAGACACTTTGCCCCTTGCTATGTTATTTATAAACAACTAAAATGCAAAGGTTTATACAAACTATGAAGTAAGCGGCTAATGCAAATAATTTCAAGAATCCATTGAGGGCTGTGAAGATGCTCAGAGAGCTGGAGCATGTCTCCTGTGAGGACAAACAGAGAGTCAGGGTTATTGGAGAAGAGAAGGCTCCAAGGAGACCTTACAGCAACCTTCCGGTACCTAAAGGGGGCCTATAAGAATGCTGGAGAAAGGTTTTCTATAGGGACGTATAGGGATAGGACAAGGGGGAATAGCCTTGAATTTGAACAAGGTAGATTTAGATTAGATATTAGGAAAAAAATCTTTACTGTGAGAGTGGTGAGACACTGGAACAGGTTGCCCAGAGAAGCTGTGAATGCCCCATTTCTGGAAATGTTCAAGGACAGGTTGGATGAGGCTTTGAGGAGCCTGGTCTAGTGGAAGATGTCCCTGCCTATGGTAGGGGGTTTGGAACTAGATGATCTTTAATGTCTGTTCCAATCCAAACCATTCTATAATTCTATGATTTATGTCTGAAGATTTAAGAAAACTGTTTTTGTACTTAACCATGACCCTTATGCTGCTGCTCCTACACCACTTTCATTCACAGCATAGACTTCTTGAATAGCTGACTGTATAGTGGCTGTCACTCTTCTTAAATACAAAAAGATGAAATAATTATCCTTTTTACTCACTAGCTAAATTGAATTTTTATGTATCTGCTATCTTGCAAGAGGTCTCAGTATAAAGTAAAAGATAATTTTGTTTGCTTTGTACCGAATTTATATCTACTTTCTTCATACATTGCATTTGCAGATAAACTTGTTTATAAAATGCATCTAGTCAGTGGTGAAGATTATCTGCATTGTTAGGACAATGAAAAGAAGAATAATGTATACTTTTGCACAAAAGTATTTGCTAATTGCAAATACTTAAGCAGTTAAAGAAAAAACAGTTATAACACAGCCTAATTATTTAGCCACAAGTTAAATGCTAGCTTTATATGTTTCACTGCTAAATTTACCACTTACTTTGTCTGGCTTTCATCAAGATTTTTCTTTATATCTTTGTATCTTACTTTTCTCCATCTTCTAAATGGGTTTGCTCCATTTACTTCCTTAATATCTTGTAGATGTAAACAGCAGCTAAGTAATAAGTACTGATTTTCTGCATCCCATTGTGGAAAACGGAATTCAGTTTTAATCATTGGAAATGTCTTCCCCAGACTCCATGAAAAGTGGTATAAGAAAAATTTTCATCTTTATTTACAGTGTAATTCAAATTCTTTGATTTATGCTCTAATAAACATAATCACGTTGATTGATTCCTTACCACATGAAGTGTAATGTATCAAAGTCTGTTACAAAATGATAAGGCATTTGCTTCTTATTTCTCCTTAGTACAAATCAGAAATAAATGGAAGCCAAGGGCTGTTAGAAGGCACAGTACTGGGATCAAAACAGTTTATGGCAGCTCATGAACACTAGGGATGACAAAAAACGTAAATAGCTTTCCTTACTGCTTTTTTCCTAAAAATCATTTATAGGTAACCCACAATTAACCAGCAAAGTCAACGTTATAATAAATATCCTGGATGTCAACGAGTTTCCTCCAGAAATTTCAGTTCCATATGAGACATCCGTATGTGAAAATGCCAAGATGGGACAGGTATTTGAAATTTGGGATGCTTGCTATTTTGCTTTTTCTGTCATTGTTGTTTATAATACCAGAAATTTGGCAGTTTGAAAAGGACATCATGGTTAGAATTCTTGTTACAAACAAAATGTCTGTGTTGGAAACACCTTTTGGAAAGAAGTCTGTTTGTGGTCTATTGTGGTCTACTGTGGTCTATTATTGTCTATTTATTTTTTTTAACCCTGATAATATGGGTCTGAGCCACCTTTTACTGTGAATTTAATATCTGTGTCAAGAGAAAGAATGCCTTCCTTAAAGGGTAAAATTGCAGTGAATAAATGGAGTAGGGTATACTACACAAATTTCTGTGTCCTGTTCTGAGAGAAAGAGCCCACAACCCCAGACAGTCCTCACGAAAGCTTGTTTTTTATAAGTGGTTTCAAATACATACATAACATGCAAAACCTGTTTCAGACTCAGAATATTAACTTATATCATCAGTGTTGCCAGTATTAATAGAGCTGTCCCCAGAAGGTGTTGGCATGTGCTCCTGCACAAAATCTGTGCGATTAAATACAGTGCTGCAAAGCACCAAGGCCAACCATCATACATATTAAAAACCAATAGTGGTTCTGAGATAAGACTTGTAACTTCAACTGCTCAACTTTGAGAGCTACTGGCAGCCAAGCAAGGAACATATTCAGCCTACTGTGTAATCATTGACTTCTTTTATATGTATGTAATACCTAATCAATGATTTTTATTGCCTTTATTACAGATTTGCCCATGACTTCTATGATATCCCTTTTTTTTCCTTATGTTTCAAAAAATTACCATACAACCTAATTTAACTTCTAGTTTATCAGATGCCTTTAGTTTCTTATATAGGTGCTAACAGTAGAACGGGGAACTTTTTACAGGGAAGTCTGAGACAAGCACTGACCTTTCAAAAATTATAGATATTTAGACTTTTATTTAATGAAAAAAATGCCTTCCTTTTTAAAAACTCACCGGCAATCCTACTATGAAATATTTTAACTGCACAGTGCTTACCTGAAATCTAGTAGATAGGACTCTGAGACCCAAAAGTTCCTTCAGGCCTACATGGTGCAGACCTTTCAATCCTCTCTATTTCATTTCAAATTGTGAAATTAGAGACAAGCTTTGTGAAATACTACAACATGTACCGGTCGTAATAGTGATAGTAGTAGTAGTAGTAGCAGATAAAGTGAACTGTTTTTAAATAATCGTTCACCTGAAAATAGTCACTAGTCTTCTGATACAAAGGACAAATATTAAATACTTTTGCTATAAATATAGTTTAAATCATTTTTATTTCCTTTAGGTATGTCAAAGTGAGACTTTCTGAAACACCATTTCTCTGGAAACTATCAGACTTCTTGTCTCCACTGTCCAATATATTAGGAAAATGAGAGTAATCCAGTAGAATTTCACTTTCATTGTTTCATTTGATGTTCACTTTGCATTTCTATAAAACTATTACTTTTAGGAGAGTGAACTGACTCCAGGATTAAACTTAATCTGATTTCAGGTGATACAGATTATCACTGCAGCAGACAAAGATTTGTCACCAGCTGGGCAAAGGTTTTCCTTCAGAATGTCACCTGAGGCCTCCAACAAGCCAAATTTCACAGTCCATGACTACAGAAGTAAGTTGCTTAACCATATCTCTCAGAGCAGCAGGCTGTGGTTATAATGACAAATATGATTACTTTATATTACAGTCATGTCTACAGACTTTTTTATGACATTTCTAATTGTTAAACTATCTAGGACATATGTTAATATAAATTCAGGTCTTGAACCTTTTCTCATTTTTAGGGGACAGGAATTGTCAGAACACCGAAGGCTGAGATATCCCTAGAAGCCTTCAAAAACACTACTACCTATTTTATTTTCTTCCTTTTATCATTCAGTATCTCAGGAAGAACTCCTATGCCAATGCAGGCATACCTTTAAACAAGGCAATATTTCTGCCTTGTTTAAATAGTATTACTTTGCTAACTGTTTTCAAAGTACCCAGCTGTGGTGCTTTCTAGAGAATGTATAGTCCTGCAGAAGAATTAGTTCTGAATATGAACAATGCTGCTGCAGTATAACATAACACAACAGTATAACATCCCACAACACTCTTAATGATTTGTATTTTATATACTTAACATTTCTGATTTTTCCACCAATTTTTGTTGTAACTGACAATCTTCCTTGGTTTTAGAATTTGATAAATGACAAAACACAAAAAAATAAAATTTTATCTGTATGTACCTATATACATGGTACATGTTAAAATGTTTAAAATGAAAATGTTAAAGTGTTAAAAACTAAAAAGTTAAATACTTAAAAGCATTTCTTAACACTTACCAAAAAGAAGTACACTATTGAAACACAAGTAAGACAGATTTTTCCAACATAAAAGACTTTTTCATTTTTGATGATTTACAGAGCTATTAGAAAAACCTGTCCAAATAGAAACTCTGTACAGTATTTTCAGTATCATTGGCCTTTTGTTTGCCAAAAAGGTGGAAGGTCAGCTATTTGCAAAATTAGAGCTGTTATAACAGAACCCTGTTTTCACTATAGAAACCTTTTAAAAACATACATATAATTATTTTTTGAATTAGCAATTATGTTAGTAGCAAGCAGGTACTTTGTGAAAGGAATAATTTTTTTTTTTTAGGAAACAATCTTGTTCACTGTTCACAATTAATGCTTTCACAAGTAAAGGTGGCATTTAACATTTTTAAACACGTCAAGGAGCCTAATAACCAGTGCTATTCTATACAGCTAAGAATCATGGGTAGTGTGATATTACAGCAGGTGTAATATATTTGTAGTAAACCCAATAGAATAAACTTTTCCAAGTTCTCTATTTCTTCAGAGTATAACTTAATGATGACAGAAACAAGACAGAAGCTGTAGGTTTCTATTTGGAGTCTCTATAAACACAAACACAGGGAAATTTTATGTTTCTAGACTATGCCTTCAGCAGCACTGAGGCAAATCCATCAACTGTGAATAGAAGTGAGTCCCTGGCAGAGATGGAGCGATTCCAGCTGAACTCACTGTACTCTCTAGAGGGCTGCTTCCCTGCTGAGCATACTCAGTTGCTCATGCAAGAGAGAGAACTTTCCTCCTCTCCAAACTGTCACACACATCCTGAAAATGAATTTATTGCCAACAGGTTGAAGACCCAGACTCTGTCTCAGCTTCAGGCTGCAGCTCCAGGCTGCTCTGTGCTGAGTTCAAACACATGCCTGTGTCCATATTTTCAGAAGGACCTTAAACAACTGAAGTGCAACAGAAGTGTTTCAAAGTCAAAGACTTTAAAGATCAATCTGATTCTCTCAAAGGAGAATGGAAAGTCACTTGGTTGCATTGTAACATGTATTAAAGTGATCTTTAACATTGCAATTAAAAAAAAAAAAGGGTCTATTAATAGAAATAGACATAAGAATAGAAACAAAATTAAGCTGGATGACTTCCAAACTCTTTATACAGTGCAGAAGATTAATCATAGAGAGAAGGAACAACCAGAAGATGAAAGTTAGTTTGATTAAAACAATTTTGGAACATTTTTCTTTTTCAAAACCAAGTATCAGTAAACTTGATATGTCCATATTTTGTTTGATAAAAAGCAGACTTCTGAAATAAGCATGTTGTCAGTTAAGTGCTCTCTCATTGATGTTTGATCATAATCTGTCTGATTTCGGATACTTAGAGTTCCTTCTTACTGTCCCTAATCAGAACTGGACACAAGTATTTGAGTGTGGAATTCAGAGCCCTTAATCCTTCTACCTAGGAAACAGAATTCCAAGAAGAGATGAAAGTTATAACATGGACAAGAAATGCTGTCTTTTAAGCATACAGTAAATAACATGGGTGAGAAGGCAAAATGGTGGCTGCTGCAGGCTACCTTCATTTAGATTTGTCAGCTAATTAATTCCCTGCTAATTTCATTTTGGTTTTACTCTCAATGCAGTTCTTTTCACCTGCATTTAATCATTTCCTTCCTGATTCAAGAAATGCAACAATAACTGAATATTTACTGGGAAGAAATGACAGAACTAAATTTCTAGGAGTTCTGAACACATCCATGACTAACTGATGTAAAATGTACTGATTATAAATTACTCACTTTGTTTCTATACTTATTTTTAGTGGGGCAGGAACGTTGAAGGAGGTTTGTATTTATCAAGGTATATTATTTCAGTTTTAAAGGGAAATTAATTAACTGAATAATGATTCTCAATCTATGTGCAGTTATAGCCTGTTGGATCACAGACTTGGAATATAAGGAGATAGGAAGAAAAGAAAAACTGAATATCCCTCCTAATCTAATACCTGTAATGCTTTTTTTTTTTTTTTTAATTATGGTTTATGCCACCTTTGAAATTTCAGCTGTCAAGCTAACAAATTTGCAATAAATCAATATTATTTAGTGTCCTGCAAAACATAGCTCTACCAGTCAGAATGCAATACTTTCTGTAATGATAAAACAAGGCAATTACATAAAGTATGTCATTCCCTGAGTTACAAAAATGGAAGAGCTGCCTACTACTGAAGGTGATACAAAACACAATGGTGAATTGAAGTACACAATAAAAATATTGTAATGACTATGTCGTGTTTTACAGACAACACAGCTGGGATTGAAACCAGGAGAAATGGTTACAGCAGAAGGCAGCAAGAGCTGTACTTTCTTCCAATAGTGATAGAAGATAGCAGTTACCCTGTCCAGAGCAGCACAAACACGTTGACTATTCGTGTTTGCAGATGTGATTCTGATGGTACCATCCAGTCCTGCAATGTGGAAGCAATCTTCTTGCCAGTAGGCCTCAGCACAGGAGCACTGATTGCAATCTTGTTGTGTATTGTCATACTTTTAGGTTAGTTCTCATGAAACAGTATGAAGGCATTACTCTGCTTATTCACCTTTGAATTGGTTTGTGTTGTTATTAGTTTCATCTATTGTTTAACAAAAGCCATTGAAAATGTGTGGCACTTTCTGAGAACTTTTATGCTTCTACATTTCTAGAAATGCATCCCAAAGCACTGACCATGACCATGAATCTGCTAACACCTACATTTTTCTCATTGCATGAAAAGAAACAGTTTTCAGTGTAAACCAAACCATATTTTTCCTCTGAAAGTTAGTTCTGCTGGAATACCTTTCTTGAAAGGTTACTATTTTCAGATTATTACTAAGGTAGGCAAGTCCTACTGACAGTAACAGCAGTAAAGACTTAGTAAGGGCTTTTATTTAATTTTTCATCCCAACTTTAGTAAAAGATAGAGCAAAGAAATGAGAGAGAAGAAAATAATTGCAATGTAGAATGTGACTGGCTAAATCCATGTAAAACTTTACAGGAACACTTTAGTTTCAGGCAGACATGGATTTCATAAGGTGGCATTGTCATTTGCGATGTAAATCATTTGATCTACATTATATTTAAATATTGCTTTATTCACAGCATGCCCAAAGCAGTCAATATTCACATGCACCCTACTTGCAATATAGCCTTAATGAGTTGATAACAAAATAAAACCAACTTTGTACCTTTCACAGGCACAATGTGGGTTGCAGAAAGCAAGCTGATTCTTACAGACGCTAGCCTATGCTGCTTCTTGATACTAGTGAGCTTCCTAGATCTCATACTGCTTGTGTAGGTCTAATGCTTAGGCAAAACCAGCTGCAGACTCAGAACATAACAAATTGACACCTATTTGCATTTGGAGGATACAGTAATTTACCACATAAGGAAATAAGTAGAGGCTCGGGGTTACATTAATAGCTTCTGAGTAATAGTGGATAAAAGTCAGAATATAGGTTCTGTGTAAAAATTTTACGTTGTGAGAAAAATGTTTCAAATCAGAACAAGAATGGCAAATGTTCATACATCCCATGGAATATAAATTAATCAGAAATACACTAATTTTGAAGAATTCGAAACAAAACAACCTTAGGTCAGTTTTTCAGAAGTGAGAATAATGCTGTCCTCTTTACTATAATTCCTTGGGACTACTTTTTTTTTTACATTTAGGCATTTCCTGGGTAAAACCAATCAGGAGTAAGCCTCAGCAGCAAAGAAATTTCATTATGAATAAGGCTTTAATGTATTTTCACAAGAAGAGGTAAGTCAGAATCTGTCATAAATCAGGACTCCCAGGATGTCTAAACTCTCTGTTACAGACCCAAGTACTTAAAAGCCCTAGAGACATAGCTGTTGAAAAGCCTTTCGAGTTGCCACCTTTGTGTCCAGGGATCTGGACAGTATGAACTACACAGCAGAGAGGTAGGTTCTCTTGGTGCAGAGATCACATAAAATGGCAGAGTAGCTGGGGAAGCAGGAATAGTCAGAAGTCTGAATTTCCCCCAGATTTGCTAGGTGACCATGGAGGCCTTCTACAGAATTGTGTTTATGCTTCCCTAATGGTTTGTTGAAATAAATACAATTTTATTTTATAAACCCAGCATATTCAATCAAAAACAATTGAGTCAAAGGAATCCCTACCAGCTCTGCTGCTGATTGATTCTCTTGGCATATACAAAACTAATGAAAATATTTTAATTTCTGATTTGCACAGAATGCCAGACTGAATTGCTGAGATTATATTTAGAAAAGAGGGTTTGGTCCTTTAATAACTCCTTCATTCCAATCAGTTTTGCAATATTACCCAGAAAAACTAATGTATAAATAATGAGATCTCCAGTGCTGTGCCTAACCTAAGAGAATGGCATTTATTTTACATCCAGATGTTCTCCTTACCATTCCATTGATCAATTTAAAACTGCTTTTGGATATTCATTTCTTACTGAGAACCTGGCCTGACATAAGTTCATCAAAATTGCAGCTGAAATCATTCTTATTGAGCTCATTTCTACAGAAAAGACAGACAACATATTACCAGAATCTGGAGTTATTTTAGACCACACAAGTCTGACAATGGATTTATAATCATTGCAACTCCTGTATTCATTATTATGTCACTTTACCAACAGCACTTAGAACACTGTTATTTCTACCAAAGGCAGCTAGGGAATTAAAAATAACAAAAAGGCCAGTTTACTACAAGCATATCTTTCATTCAATGAAATATATCTCTAAAAAAAAAAAAATTGAAAGAAACCCATAAGCTGATTGCCATTCATTTACCATTTGTAACAAAACCAGTATGTAAAATTCTATGTTGCATAGAATCACAAAATCACAGTTGGAAAGCACTTCTGAAGATCATGTAGTAGTTTTGCTGAAGTTAGGATAAAATTAATACACTCTTCTGCCTTCATCTGCCAGTCATCTCATTGTAGAAGGCTATCTATCTGGTGAGTTAAGCAGAATTCCATGTTTGTAAATCCATGCTGACTACTCATAATATCCTTCTTGCTCTTAATATGTTTGAAAGTGGTTTCTAGTATGATTTGTTATATCATTTTCTTCAGAATCAAGGTGAGGCTGACTGGTCTGTAGTTCCCTAGCCCATTCTTGTCCTTTTTGAAGACAGGAGTGGCACTTGCTTCAATTCTCAGAAACTTCTCCCAGTCCCCATCACCTTTCAATTATTGTTGCAAGTGGCCTCACAGTGACGTCAGCCACCTGCCTCATCACCTGTGTGCATCCCATCAGATCCCATGTGCTTGTGTGTCCAGTTCCCCAAACCTGATCCTCTTCCACCAAGGATAAGTCTTTCTTTTTCCAGACTTTCCCTATGGTCTCAGGACCTGGGTTTCCTGAAGGACAACATTACAAATAAAGAGAGAGGCAAAGAAACCACTGAGTAGTTTGGCCTTTTCTGTGTCCTTTGTCAACAGGTCCCCTGCCACATTCAGCAGTGAAACCGCATTTTCTTTATTTCTTCCTTTGTTGCTGTCATACTTGTACAGGCCTTTTTTGTTGCCCTTCCTGTCCCCTGTGAGACTCATCACCAGATGTGCTTTGGCTTTCCTGACTGCATCCATGTATGTTCAGATAGTCATGGCATATTCCTCCTGTCTCACCTGTCTCTGTTTTCACCTCTTATATACCTTTTTCTTTTTTTTACCTCTGAGTTTAGTCATGATCTCCTTATTCATCTACGCGGCTTTCTGCTGCCTTTGCTTGATTTCCTGCTAATGGGTTTGGACCACTGTTGAGCTTGGAGAAGGTGGTGCTTGAAAACCAACCAACTCCCCTGGACCCTTTTTCACTCCAGAACCATATCCATGGGATTATTCAAAGCAGACCTCTGAAGAGACTGAAGTGTATGAAAAGCTGAAGTGGGATTATTTTCTCTCCATTTCAAAGATTCCTTTTTATTTTTTTTTTTTCCCTCTTTAATACTGTGGGGCTTTTTTCTCTGCAGTGTGGAAATTTGGGAATTTTTTTCTATTTTACTGTGGTAGATGTTTTAAAAGGAAAACCCATCTCTGTCTCTGAACTAAAAAGTTGAAGGCCTGTCCAATCCTACTTGTCTGCAAAGCAGGCCAGTAGGAAAATTATTTGGTACTTCCTTTGGCAGCACAGCGAGCAATAAGGAAAGTTAGACTCACATCAAACAGCAAATGACTTTTCATTGGCTAGAGCACATCTATTTTTAAAAGAACAGTAGGACCATATTGTCTAAGGAAAAATGACCCTTTGATCGCTTGCAGTTTTCAAAGGAAGGATAATGATATGTCATCAGAGCACCAAATTATTTCTGTGCATATCTTAACTTCTATTTTCTCTTGTTACAGTCATTGTGGTACTGTATGTAGCACTACGAAGGCAGAAGAAAAAGGACACCCTTATGACCTCTAAGGAAGACATCAGAGATAATGTTATCCATTATGATGACGAAGGAGGTGGAGAAGAGGACACCCAGGCTTTTGACATAGGTGCCCTGAGGAATCCCAAAGTGATAGAAGATAACAAAATACGCAGAGACATAAAACCGGACACCTTGCGTTTTTCACGTCATAGACCACTAGTTGAAGATAACACAGACATAAGAGATTTCATTAATCAAAGGCTACAGGAAAACGATGTAGATCCAACTGCACCCCCTTATGACTCCTTGGCAACCTATGCTTATGAAGGAAATGGATCTGTTGCAGAGTCTCTCAGCTCTATAGACTCCCTTACTACAGAGGCAGATCAGGATTATGACTATCTGAGTGACTGGGGACCTCGCTTTAAGATCTTGGCAGATATGTTTGGAGAAGAAGAAAGTTATAACACTGACAAAGTCACTTAAGTACAACAGTGAAATAAAAAGTAAAGCAACCACAAATTAGAAAGATAAACCTAAGCTTTATATACGTCAGGATTCATTTGATTACAAAAGAACTGTTTCAGCAAGTTACTACACGTATCATACTGTCAGTTTTGGTTTGATCTGCAAAGGAATGAAAAAAAAAACATGCAATATACACAGTTTTTTGCTGTTGTTATTTTGTTACTCTGGAATTACACTGAGACAAGCTCAGGCATACAAGGTACAGTTTACTGACCTGACTTAGAAAGAAGATAGCTTTCTGGCATCATGGTGGAAGAGTGGTAGCTTTTTCGTAATTCCACTAAAGTGCCTATTGAAACTTTTCTTGTTTAAGTGGTAAAGAGTCTGCTGTGATGGTGTTACAAAACTGAATGGTAAATTGGAGAAGAACTTTAAGACAAGAAACAATAGCAACATGCTGACTTCATTTAGGACAAAAATGGAGATCACTTCCTGGAGTGTATCTAAGAACTAAAATGAAGGTGGGGGTGGGGGTGTACATTGTGTTTGTTTGGGGGTCATCTTTGTTTTTTTTAAAGAAGAAAACAGTATGTCAAGACGTCATATATCTTCTTCTGAAATTTCACTGAAAATTTAGATTTAAAATTCTATTGCTCACTCTGAAGACGTAAAGCCCAGTTAAAGGAAAAGATCTTAGCATACATCAGTGAATATTTAAAATGTTCATGCAAATATTACATTTTTTCCAAAATAATAAAAAGATGAAAGCAGCTATTCTTGTATGTGAAGAAAATTTTCATTGGCTCCCCCTTTTCTTTTAAAAAGACTATTATTAGAACATAAAATGGAGAGGGTTTTTTAAGAGTATTATGGTACTTTTAATACTAAAACATTTTTCCTGTTGTAAGTATCACTAAAGAAGTATATGTAAAGAACTACATACCACTTTTCTTTGCAAGTAGGTTGTTACCATATAGGTACCATAGGCATACGTACCATAGATATAGTTGTTTTTCAACTGACCATCTGCTACAATTCAGTATACCATTGTATTTCACTGTTAGACCCACATCAAACATTTTAGAAAGCCTTTTGAGGATGGAAACCATATTAATTTTGGTCTTGACAAAGTAGTAACAGAGACAGAATAAAAATATAAAACAGCACATTTGTCCAAACTTTATGTACATACCCATGTGTTAATGCAGTTGTAAAGGTCACAGAAGTACAGATATCTGCAAGGCACTATTCTATGGAAGATCTCTTGTAAAACTATTCCATATGACTTCTAATGATCTAAATCACATTTTGTAAGACAATGCTTAATGTCCCCTAAAGCACATATATCCTTATATTCTCCTTCTAAAATCTCAGCAGTGCTATGCAATCTCCTTGAGCTTTACTCATAATTAATGGCACTGTCAAGGTCAGCTCAAGTCTTTCATGAATCAGAAGTCTTTTATTCACCTCAGGTCTACAGCTTACTTTTCTGTAGTGCTGAAGAATTAATAACTATCAGATATAGCTAGCTCACGAGCCTGATCTCAAAATACACAAACTTCCCTTTACTCTCTTGGGGAAATGTAGAGGTATTTCAAAGTTGTATGAAGCAATTTCCCAATGAGACTTTATAAGGTGCATAATTTAAATAAATTTTAAGTCATTCAGTACAGTTAGACAGGGCTGCATTAAAAGCATGACTGGCACAACTTCTACCAACAAACTCCTGAGGATGACACAGCATATGGTAATAATAAAGCTTTGTGGTTTTTGTTTTGTTTTTTTTTTTTCATTATCATAAAAGGTATCCTATATTTCCTGAAAGAAAACTAAGTCAACAACAGCTCTCTGCTCACAAGACAGAGAAGCAGATGGAGTGGTAGGGCCCATTTACCAGCATAGCAATTTTCATGTGAAAGCTGATGTTTTAATTTAATGTTTTAACATCTTGACAGCATAGCAAAGGCAGCTCCTTACAACAGATTGCACCTAAAACATAACTCTTAAAAAAACATATATATATGTTACTGGTTGCAACACAGATGATTCATAAAAAAATCACACTTGTGGAGGTACTTAGCAATGCTTCCTGATGTAGCATATGCATATCAATGCTTCCTACGCTGCTGTCACAGTTAAAATAAGCATCTGACACTGATCATTTATAGATGTACAGTCCTGTAGCAAAACTGTGCTCTTAGCAGCTGCATTAGTCCTTTACATGTATTTCACTAGTAAAGTCAACATACATGACAGCAGTGTTTGTTTTGTTGTATCACATGCCATGCTTGCTCCTGAGAAAGTTGTGTGTGTTTGTAGAGAATACTGGGTGAACATTAGGTCTCTTGAACAGACTGGCATTTGCTGCAGGCAGGACAGTCTGTGTGGGAGCCTGACTTCCAAATTAGGTAGAAAATGTGATCTTAAACATGCTGCTACTCACAATCCATATTTGAGAATGAGTTTTATGTTAAATTTACAGCAAATTGAATTGGGTATTTCTTTCTATACCAAATTGAAAAAGTTTTGTAACAGAGATGTTTCTATCACATAACTAATAAACTTCAAGAAGAAAAATAAAAATAAAAATAAAAAGGATGTAATTCTCCTATGAAATCATAATAAAAATCTTTCAATACTTTATATTTAGAAGCGATCAAACAATTATAACTTAACATGGGTATTTTTTATAAACAGCTCTATAGAGCTATGGAAAAGAAGTGATTTTCATTTATGCATAATCTGGGTTCCAGGAAATTTGTGTTTAATTTCATGCTCCCTCACCCTCTTTCTGAAAGATGCCTGTCAGGTTGTTAACACATTATTTTATAAAAGGTATTTAGACAAACATGAAATTGACAAGATTTAAAATATGTCAAGGCATCTGGGATGACATAAACTCAATGGAATTAAAGATCCCTAGTGAATTTTTAAATTCTATCAGGTAACTACTTAAGATTTTAAGCACAAGGTCTTAAAAAAAATCTACAAACTCTTGCACAGTCAAGATGCTACTGTGGATGTATCTCTCTCAATTGTGGAAAGAGTCATAAATCTCAAGTCCTATGAGAGACAGGAAGCTAAAATAATGCTGTAAATACACAGAAGGGATAGAATTGAGACAAATACCTGTTTAAATGTCCAGATACAAGATACCAATGTACTAGTATCTAGTCTTAGATGTCTCAAGTGTCCCCCATAAAATCACAAGGCATTCTACAAAATGTCTTCTGCACTTGAAGGCATTAAGACACATCACTGGCGCAAACAAATCCACATTTTAAGTTATATAGTTGAACAGGCACTAGGGGTGCTGAAATTAAATGTCTGGATATAAAGCATTTAGCTAAGTGAAGTATCTATGGAAATATATCTGATAAGCTTACACTGTTGACATACAGAACTGAAGAAAACTCTGTAACAGAATATTGGGAAGGAATCTGGGGAGAGAAGGAAAATGTTTTCCCTGCCCCCACAAGAAAGCTGAAAATGCAACTACTTAGGAAAGTTCAGCCAATTTCTCTGTGGGATCAGAGCATATAAGATTGCTAATATTTTCATTTAAGAATGCAACCACACAAATCTGAAAATGCTGCTATTCTTGAAACACAGATTTGCAATATTGTCACTGAGTCAAATAGGAGAGATCTGGAAAATAATGACAGTAGATGATGTCTCTTGCACAATTATATGTTTGAATATTTTAGTTTCGTGAATTTTACTTGTTTTATAAATTTGCTCTAAATTTTTCTGTTCAAAATAAAATCACAGTTACTGAAGACTTGTCTAGGTTATGGAAACAAAATTAATTATGAAGCAAAGAGAAATAAATGGTTCAAGGTATTACTGATATTATTGTTCTAGAGAATATTCTTCCTTAATAAGATGAACAAATCCATTCAAACATAACTGATCCTTCACACTAGAAAAAATGTGGTTCTGCAGAGGCTATATTAGTTTTAGATTTGCCTCCATCATTGTAATGAAATTTAGGACCGTGTTGCTATGGAATAACAAATTTCTATTAGATGAATACAGGAAAAAAATATAATAATCTCCTGGGCTACAAAAATTTCATATGACATTACTGACTGTATTTTACTTGCTGAGATTTGGGGTTGTGAATCCTCTGCAGTTATTTTATAACTTATTATCATTGACATAGACATTCAAATCCTGTGTATAAAAATATTATTAGACTTATTAAACTTCATAAAAACAAATAATGAAATGACCCTTAATAATAACCCTGCTGAGGTGACATTTAAGTATGAATGAAAATCAAAGTTTATATTACACCCTTTCACAACCTTCTATTAATAGCAAATCTATAATAACCTGATTCCTTTTCTCTTCTTATTTAAATCAAGAACCATCTAAGTTGTCAGAACACAAGCAACAGTTGGTATTTTAAGAAAAATGAAGACAAGTTCCTGTTTGTTTGGTTTGGGATTTTTGATTTTTTTTTTTATTAGGTTTTTTTAATAGTCTATTGAATTGATAAAACTTATTCAACTTCAATTTTCAACTAAAATCCCCAGATAATATTTTTTCTATTAATTTTCATTGCTATGGTGCCACTCAAAACAATTCTCAGGGCTCAGAGAGATCTTGTCAATGTGTATAAATATCTGATGGATGGAAGAAGATGGAGCCAGACTTTTCTTCGTGATGGCCAGTGACAGGACAAGAGGCCAAAGGCACAGACTGAAACGCAGCACATTCCATCAAAAGAAAAACACTTCTTTACTGTCAGGATGTCAAGTTGCCCCAAGAAGTTACGGTGTGGCCATACTTTGACATATTCAAAGCCCAGTTGGATTTGTCCCTGAGACACCTGCTCTGACACTACTGTAGCAGGGAGGTTGGACCGGAAGATCCTCAGAGATGTCTTCCAACCACAGCTACTCTGTGGCTTATGTTAAAACCATCCTGTGTACTTGGGATCCTAAACTCTATGGCATTTGTTACTATGCATAACTACATATGCATAACTATGACTTCTGGAAAGACAGCTCAGATAAGAGTGGAAGAATAGGATTGCAATCTATAAAATTATGTGGATAATCTGGAGAACAATAAATTATTTGCTGTAACTTCCAATAGAAAAAGGAGAATTACATGAAACTAGCAGGAGTCAGGAACAAAAAAAAAAAAACAGAGGTGGTTCTTCACACAACAAGTATCTGAGATTCTCACGGAGGCTCAGAGTTTACATACATTAAAAAAAAAGAGACTGAACAAATTCATGAAAAACTAGTAATTTGTGGGTTGCTTAAAACAGAAGAGTAATATCTAGCTCAGGGAGCCCCTGAAGAGTGCTTGATTAGCATCTGGGCAAATAATATAACCTGCTCTGCTCCTAAATGTTTTCCTGGGATATCAGCTTATGATAGTGCTAGAAAAGATTACCACCACAGTGTGACCAATCTGATTTTCTTACTGTGATTTTACTGTAAACATAGTTGATCCTCAACTCACCATTCCCTAAGTTCTAATTTTCCAGATTGCATAGATAAAGCCAGTTCTTTCTTTTATTACGTATCACATGTATATATGCAAGAAAGTTTTATTTCCCTCAGATTTTAACTCTTGTAATTGCCCTATTTCCTTCAATTCTGCACACATTTAAATAGTACTTATGCACTTTTGTCTTTCATAGGAACACTATCAGTGCTGTCAGTGCTAATGATACAGTTTGGTATACTCTATATTTTAAAAAAAAACATTATATTATTACTGCTAAAGATGATGAACTCTACAATACATATAATCTT